GGCCCCCACAGATGCCCATGCCAGTGCATGAGCCGCTGTCCCCACAGCAGCTGCAGCAGCAGCAGGACATGTACAACAAGAAGATCCCCTCCTTGTTTGAGATCGTGGTACGGCCCACAGGACAGCTGGCTGAGAAACTGGGTGTGAGGTGAGTGCCAGGGGCCTGTCACTGAGCCTGGCCCAGGCAGCGTGCTGCCTCCAAAACTGTGGGAGGCCTGGTCTAGAGCCCTCTACTGCTCACCACTTGAAGGCCTCCACATCTCCTGGAGGGTGTGACCCCCCGCCCCCACCCTTCCTCTACAGCCCCTCTCATAGGAACCATTTCCTCCTTCTCCTAGGTTCCCTGGACCTGGAGGACCCCCAGGGCCAATGGGCCCTGGGCCCAATATGGGACCCCCGGGGCCAATGGGGGGTCCAATGCATCCTGACATGCACCCTGATATGCACCCGGACATGCACCCCGACATGCACCCGGACATGCATCCCGATATGCCGATGGGCCCTGGCATGAACCCTGGCCCGCCCATGGGACCTGGTGGACCCCCAATGATGCCCTATGGCCCTGGAGACTCCCCACATTCTGGAATGATGCCCCCCATCCCACCAGCCCAGAACTTCTATGAAAACTTTTACCAGCAGCAGGAAGGCATGGAGATGGAGCCGGGACTCATGGGGGACGCAGGTACGCAGGGTGGGGGTGGGACTAGGTGGGGCTGCTGGGTTTGCACAATGGAACATAATGGGGAAGATTTGGTCATCTCCCCGTCTTTGAAAGCATGAATCCAACACCTTCTCTGTCCCATGAGTGATTGAATGTTTTCGTGACTGAGTCACTCACTACCCTATTGAGGCAGAAAGGAATATTGTGATTATCATCATTATAATTTTAGTCTCTTAGACATTTTACTTGGTGTTCCTGGAATCGGGAGCACGGGAACTTAGAGGGGCAGGTGTGGAATGGTGCTGGGCTAAGAGGCTGAAGTGGCCTTACCAAAGCAGCCTCCTTCCAGGTAGTTCTTGGCTTGGGGCTGCCAGTGTCAGCCTCCCAGTTCTGCTTGTTCTGTCCCCACGTCTGACCATCTTCCTTCCTCCTCTCCTTTCCTTATTAAAATATGTATTGGCTGCAGCAATGACATGACCACAGGAGGTAATGCTCAGCCTTCAGCAAGGATGGGTGTGTCCACTGCTGCCCAATGCCGGCCTGCTGCAGCTCTGGGGTCAGAGCCAGTGAAGCAGCCACAGTCCTGGCCTTAGCTGCATTTGAGTGGAGGGAAACAGGCAGGAAATGTGTAAATAAGTACAAAAGCTCATTTTAGCATTGATCAATGCTAGAAGTAATGATGCTGTGGGAGAGTGATGGGGCTGAGGCGGGCTGGGAGCTTCTGGATGCTGGAGGCCCAGGGAGCAGAGGCCTCTCTGAGGAGTTACTGGGAGTGAGTTGGGATGTAAAGGGGAGGAGACAGCTGTGGATGCACAGCCCAGGGCGGAGGCTGCCGCCAGTTAGCTTGCTTGAGAAAAGCAAAGGCAGCATGTGCTTTGGAAAGGGAGGACAAGGGAGAGAATTTCCAGTGCTGTAGGGACTGTGTTGCCGTGGCGAGGTAACCTCATTGGAAGGGTGACGGTACCGCAGAGGAGTGAGACCGCAGTGGATGGTAGGGACAGGAGTGGAGTCATCCTGCAGAGGCTAGCTGGATGGCAGCTGGAGGCGGCAGGGAGAAGCAGGGCTTGGTTTCTCGGTTTGGGGATGGTGCCACGGGGCCAGCGTAACTCCTGTGTGCGTTACTAGGTGGACAGGAGTGGATGGGGTGCTGGCCATGGGGCACAGTCACTCTGTGGGTACTGACACCTTTCCTGGCTGGGAAGCCCTGCTGGAGAGAGCCAACTTGGGTGGGGCAGCGCTTATGCTTTGGCTCCATTAAGTGTGAGATGCCCATTTGACAGCCATGCAGACATGTTGAGGCATATTGGAGACAAGCAGCTGGAGGTCAGTGTGAGCATCCTTGGGTCTAGATGGCATTCGAAGGCACGAGAGCAGATGTTTGGGGCGAGGAGCCAGGGGCTTTAGAAAGATGAATGACATGTTCTCAAGTGAGAAACAGGCTGCTCGAGGGGTGATGGTCCCATAGTCCCCTCCCCCCTTTAAAACGCTCACGGCGAAAGGTCTGGGTGTGGAAGGAAAGCAGGTCTGTCAAGCTGTTAGCCCCATGTAGCCCTGGAGTAATTCGCTTCAACTCCTACGTCAGGAAATCTTACCAAGTGTGCTGGTCAGCGACTTCAGTGCACAGTGGGTCCTCAAGTAACATTTTATTCAACATCATTCTGTGAGAACATTGATGAGCTGCCCTAGGGACTTAGCTCTTGTTTGTATCAATTAGCATGTGGTAAAATTGGTTTTGTTATATTTCACTTAAAGTCACAGAACCTATCGATGACATTGAGGCCTTACTGTATTCACAAGTGCACAACCATCGAGTGAGTCACTCTTGACAAACCAAAGTATGGCACAGATCAGGCCCTGCCCATCCAGCTCACATGTTACAAAGTTCAGTGGCTAGAAGAAGGGGACCTTTCACCTTCTGCTTTATGTTTTGTATATGAAATATTAACTCATTTAGTCATTTTAATGCTATACATTTAACTTAAGTTAAATTACAGATTCACTCTCTTGGTAGTACTGGCCTCATTTCAGTTGCTCACTAGCCCCGTGAGGACAGTGGCAGCTCTATGGCACATTTCATCATTGCAGAACATTGTATGGGGCAACACTAACTGGACATTCTCCATCTCTGAGGGGTACACACACACACAGCCTCCAGGTACATCATCTCCTACCCCGCCATGCTGCACCCCCTCCTTAAATGCAGCAGCATGTACATAAACATTTGTGGAGTTCAGGAACCCACAAAGGAAGCAGGAGAGGGAATCACCATGAGCTTCTGGGTTGACATGCGGCCATGGCAACATTTTGGTGGGGTTTTTTGTTTTGTTTGTTTTAATATATATATTTTAATTGTTGAGAGTATTACAGATGTCCCCCATTTCCCCCCCC